CATGACCTTGGGAAAGTCCTTCCATGACTCGGGCCCTCCACATCCTCCCCTGTAAATGGGGCCGGTGCGGTGATGTGACTGGCATCATGCTTGGTCCTCAGCACTCAGCAGCGATAGGTCTGTCAGCAGGGTGGGCCGGGGGGCTCCCATCCCACCCCTTGCTCCTGCCACACCCCATAATGCCCCTTCTCGCCTAGTTCCATGTGGACAAGAAGGGTCGGGTGAACTTCGCACAGACAGAGCTGCTCATCCATGTGGTGAATCGCGATACCAACCGCATCCTGGACGTGGACCGGTGGGTGGGGGTCTGTGCTCAGACCATCAGTACCCCCTCCTGCCCTGGAGTTGGGGAGGGGACCCAGCAAAGGAGGCAGCTAACACCATCAGGCCGGCTCTGTGGGGGCTCTCCCCCAGCAGTGGGCAGGGCTAGTGGGGAATCGTTTGGGGGTGTCATCACCCCCCTGCGCCTTACTCTCCCCATCTGTGAGACGGGAGCATTCCACGGATTGCGAGGAGCAAGCAGGATCCCGTGTAGGCGTGGTGAACCCCGTAAGATAGAAAGCTGTCCTCGCTGGGCGGGATCGGATCTTGCAAAGCCTGGTGGGGGTGAGGCAGCAGCCCTTCCTGAGTGGGACCAGCTCCTGAGGAACGGCTGACTGGGGAGCTGAGGCCCCTGCCCCTCGCCCAGGGTGATCCAGATGATCGACGAGAACAAGGAGCAGCTTCGGAATCTCTTCCGGAACTACAACGTCCTGGATGTGCAGCCCGCCATCTCTGTGAGGCTGCCCGACGACATGTCTGCCCTGCAGGTAGTCCTGGTGACCCCCAGCCCCACCGCCCCCCGCCCCGGGCACTCCCGCCCACTCATGCCCGGCCCGCTCCCCCAGATGGCGATCATCGTCCTGGCCATCCTTCTCTTCCTGGCTGCCATGCTCTTCATCCTCATGAACTGGTACTACAGGACTGTGTGAGTGACCCCTACCTCCCCGCCCTGGGCCAGGCTGCCCAGCCCTGCTCCTGGGACAGTCACAGGGGCAGGCAGCGCCCTGAGGTACCAGCCCACTCCAGCCCTCTTCACCAGCCCCTCTCTCTGCCTCTCTCCAGACACAAGAGGAAGCTCAAAGCCATTGTGGCTGGCTCGGCAGGTGAGCAAGGGCTGTGATGGGGCTGGGGGGGGTGGATGAGAGGGCAGAAGGGGCCCTAGGGGCCTAGAGGGCTTGCCTAGGCCTCATGAGGCTGGCTGGGGCTCCCCCAGCCCAGCAGGGTGCATCTCTCCCCTCCATGCCCCAGCACTTCTCCCTACAGGGAACCGTGGTTTCATTGACATCATGGACATGCCCAATACCAACAAGTATTCCTTCGACGGGTGAGTGGGGTCCCTGAGCCCTCAGGGTGCGCTTTGGGGAGGCCTGCCCAAAGTCTGAGTGGATTCTCTACCACCCCTCAAGCTCTGAGGGACCAGACTAGCTAAAACCTGGGGTGTGGGTGCCCTCTAGTGGGCCAGGCACCCTTCTCTACACTCGGAAACTATTGGCTGAGCTGCGATCCACACCCTAAGTGGGCCCCCAGTTCCAGGGGACACAGACTTCGGACACCAGAGGCGGAGTGAGGCCTCTGCAGCAAAGCCAATCCGGACCCACACGCTGGCCTGGTTCTTTCAGGATCCTAGTGCGGGGAGGGTGCACCCACAAGGGGCACAGGCAAGGGCCTACTTCTCATGGCCCTGAACCCCCAGGCCCGTGCTGGCCAGGGAAAAGGACGGGGGTTAGTGGTGGTGAAGCTACAAGGGCATCTCTCCACTCGGGCTGCCCCTCCTCGCTCCACTCACTGCCCCCCTCTCCCCGCGCAGAGCCAACCCCGTGTGGCTGGATCCTTTCTGCCGGAACCTGGAGCTGGCAGCCCAGGCTGAGCATGAGGATGACCTGCCGGAGAACCTGAGTGAGATCGCAGACCTGTGGAACAGCCCCACCCGCACCCACGTGAGCTGGGGCCAGAGCTGGGGGCGGGTGACTGGGGGGGTGCAGTCGTGAGGGACAGGACGGAGGTAAAGCAGGTCTTCACGGCTCGCCAAGGGGCTGCGCTGTTAGGGTGGGGGTTGTACCCACCGCCCCGTGTGCGTACCTGCGCGTGCACGCAGTCTACCTCTGCTCCAGCCAATGTTCCCTCTCCCCAGGGAACTTTTGGGCGTGAACCGGCAGCAGTCAAGCCTGATGACGACCGGTACCTGCGGGCAGCCATCCAGGAGTATGACAACATCGCCAAGCTGGGCCAGATCATTCGGGAGGGGCCCATCAAGGTGAGTCCTCCCTGCGGCTCCTGCACCCACACCCCATCGGGGCCCTACACCCAGACCTCTGAGCTTGGACTGGCTCCAGATGATACAGGGATGGGGGAGGGTCCTGGAAAACAGCTTTCTCCGCCTCTAGGCTCAGCTAGATCTGCTCTCCACTGGGCAAGAGCGACAGGGCAGAAAGAGTGGCCTGGGCACCGGGCTGATAGGGCACTGCTTCAGCCTGCAGTGGCCCAGAGCCCATGTGGGTCCTAGCCGGTCACGGTCACCAGGCTCTGCTCCCAGCCCTCTCTCTACCCCTGGATCGGGTGCCTGTGCACCCTAGACTATTAGCACCTTCCATTGCCTCCAACAGTTACGGGAGTGAGGGGTGTGGCAGGCAAGGGAGGGCCTTGGTGGGGGTTAACCCTTTCCCTCTCCCAGGGCTCGCTGCTCAAGGTGGTCCTGGAGGATTACCTGCGGCTCAAAAAGCTCTTTGCACAGCGGATGGTGCAAAAAGCCTCCTCCTGCCACTCCTCCATCTCTGAGGTAGCCGGGCGGGCCCGGAGCTGTGTGCTGTGCCCCAGCACTGGGGATGCTCACTCCTTCCCTGCTTCCCTCCCTCCCTGTCTCCCTCCAACCCTCCCTCTCTCTCCCCAGCCACCCTTCTCTTTCTCAGAGTCTCTGGAGATTAGCAGCCAGGGCCAAAGACAGCAATGGGTGGGGTCCAGGAAGTCAGGCGCAGCCCCAGGCCCAGTCTACTTTCTGGGCTCTGCAGGGGGCTGAGGAGTGTGTCTCACACTTGAGGAGCCCAAAAAGGTGCCTTGAAGGAGGGATGTCCTATAGGAAACTGATCAGTCAGGGTCAAATGGGTCCATGTAGATTTGTTTCCCTGCAGTGATGTCAACACTTTAAAAAACTCAGACTTAATGTTTAAAAACCCAGATTTCCAGTAAGACCAACCATTCCCAAATGGAACAGGCTAAAGCTAACAGTTCCACACAGAAGTGCCACATGCTGAGTCCCACTATATCCCATCCCCTCCAACTTCACCTGTGGACCTACCTGGTCAGACTTGATCCTGCTTGAGGATAGATTGGTAGTAACACATCCAGATACTAAAACTGCCTCATGGGATCTTTAGAGATCATCAAATACACAAAATAGAGGATTCTCATGGGAGGCCCACCTTCTAAGAACACAACTGTAGCACCCTAAGTGCCCATGGTTCCCCTTTGTACCCAGTGTGAGAAAACACGGTCAGCTGGACGGCAGCCTACTGCAGCACGAGCCCAGAGACCCCTGCAGTTACCTGTGTGCAGTAGGGAGGAAAAGGGGGACACAGCAGGTGCGGCTCTGGGCCAGCCAGCTGCTCAGCCCTCAGGCATGGCCTTGAGCCCACAGGTGGGTCCCAGAGCCATTGGGGGATCGTGGCCTCTTGCAGCTGATCCAGACTGAGCTGGACGAGGAGCCAGGGGAGCGCAGCCCCGGCCAGGGCAGCCTGCGCTTCCGCCACAAACCACCGACAGATCTCAAGGGGCCCGACGGAATCCACATGGTGCACGGCAGCACTGGCACGCTGCTGGCCACTGACCTTAACAGCCTGCCCGAGGATGACCAGAAGGGCCTGGGTCGCTCGCTGGAGACACTGACCACCGCTGAAGCCAGTGCCTTTGAGCGCAACGCCCGCACAGAGTCGGCCAAATCCACGCCCCTGCACAAGCTTCGTGATGTGATCCTGGAGAGCCCCCTGGAGATCACAGAGCTATGACCAGACGGGGGGGGGGGGCCTCGGCGGCATGTGCAGCACCTGTCCCCCATCCCTCCCAGGGAAGAGCAGGACCACAGTGCGGGCCCCTCCCCAGGCTGGCTCTGGGCCTACGACCTCAGGCGGGCCTGGTGGCAGCCCGCACCGGCTGCTCAGAGTCCTCTTCCGCCAGATGCCCATTCAGCACCTGACCTCTACCTTCATAAAATTTGTTATTTTTTTAAGAAAAACCAGACACAAATGATAAGCATCTAAGGACAAGGTAAGGAGGGTCACTGGGGGCCCCAAGAGTCAGGACGAACTCAGCCAAGGCCGAGCCCCAAGAGGCCAAGCAGGCCCTCTTCCCCACCCCACATCGCACCCGTCCCCCTTCACCCGCGCCCAGCACCAGGGAAGGGAGGCCCAGAGCTGGCATATCCCACCTGGCCTCGATTCCCTGACTTCGGTTCCAGTCCCAGTGCATTTCCAGCACATCGCCAGCTGGACAGTGATCCCTGCCTCCCCACATGGACATGCTCAATGTGAGTGAACCGTTCTCTACATTCCACCGGCTTCCCAACTGTGCCCGGCTCATAAAGAGAAATGACTGGTGTTCCCCTGGGTTCTGAATGTAGAGTGTTTGTGTGTATTCTTTTTTTAAATTAAGTTATTCCCTCAACATTTCCCCTTGATTTTGTTTAACTGGTACTCGGTGAACATTTCTGGAATGGTCTGCATTTTAAATAAGAAAAGCAACTCACAAGAACAGCAAGTCGCTGTGCCTCTAGTAAACTACCCTCGGGGCTGGGCAAGGGGAGAGGGCAGGGCAGATGTGTGCCTGACCTTCAGGTGTTCCCTTGACCCACTGCGCCTTCTTTCTGTGGCCAAGAGGGCCAGAGGACTGCTGGACACCCACAGGTCTGTGGCCCTGGAGCTATTCAGAAACCAAACTCACTGGCTGAGGTGTTACAGAACCACTCAGGCTCAGGTCTGGTTAACAGATTTTATTTATTGTTAAATCACAGAAACTTTAGTGCAAAACAAACCAAAAAGTCATTAAGTCTAATTTAATAGTAACTGCATGTCTCACTGTCTCCTGGCAACTTGAAGTGAACAGAAGAGGTGGCCAAGTGAGAGAGGCAGGGCCCCTGGAGAGCACGCCTAGCACACCCTGCACCTGACAGCCAGAGGCTTAGGAGCTTGTCATCCACATTTACCTAAAGGTCAAACGAAATGGGGGTCGCAGGGGAGAGCAAAGGCGGGCTCCGGGCAGCACTACAGATGCACAAGGCAAGGCTTCAGCAGCCGGGCGGACACAAGAGCAAGCAAGAGGCAGTCACCACACCCATACCCACACACACACAGACACACACACAGACACCCACACGAGCCAAGCCCACAGGACCTCCACACAGAGCTAGCAGATTACATTCAGGAAGGTTCTTCCCCTCCCACCCAAACCCACAGAACTTCGGAACAAGGCATCACCAGGAAAGATACCGCAAAGCTGAATCAGAGGTTGACCCCGGGACAGCAAACCCAAGACCCACCCAGGCCTCCTGAGCAGCCGCTTCCTGAATTTCCCCTCCAGTGAGAACTATGTGGTTTTTAAGAAGTCTAATTATTCTGAGCCTCTTTCTTATAAAACTGCCTTTGTTTTGCTTCTCTGTATAGCAGCCCAGGAAGAGGGGAGGTCCATGCTTAGGGGTAGGTGGAGGGCTCAGAACAAGGCCCCAGCCAAGGAGGATGGAGAGCCTTCTGTCAAGCAGCTCTGGCTCACGCCAGCACCCAAGGCCCCCACCACCTCCACTGCCGCCGCCTCCAGGTAGCCACCGCACAAGAGCAGGCTGAAAGCCCTCCAAGTGCACAGTCGTCCTCACCTGTCTAGGCAAAGGAAAGGGACAGTGAAGCAGTGGTGGCAGCTGCAGGCCAGGTGCCTCCCACACAGACAGCGATGCTACAATCGAGAGACAGGAGAGGGAGGGAGGGAGGAAGGGGAAAAGGGGGTCCTATTTTTATAACCGAGTCAAGAGATCGGTGTGTTCACTGCCCCAGACACACAAGTAGGAAAAGATGCTGCAGTTTCTCCAAGATGGAACGTCCCTCCTAGTTCCACACGTGACGTTTGCAATGCTCGACAGCCTGACGGGAGAGAGGAAGCTGGGTTTTAGCCTTTGTGTGACAAACTCCACTCCTGGGCCATCAGTGCAGCAGACATCACCCAAAAATGGGACCCATTATCCTGTCCGAGGTCGGCTGGACAGCACCCCACCCAGACCTGGGGAGCATGTGGCCACCCGAATGTCAGGGACTCCTATGGCAAGAGTCCAGAGTTGCAGCTGCAGAGCACCGAGTGCTTTAGAAGCGAGCACCCATGCAGGTAGGGCCCAGGCCCCCTCCATCTAGTTACACGCTGAGTCTTGGCACTGCACAGAAGCCCCAAGGCAGAAGCCCTCACCCTCACCCAACAGAGCGCACAGCAGCTCAGGCCTTGAAAACAATGACCCCACAGGCCCATTTACCAGGGCAGCGGCAGGCACCTGCTCCTCCACTGACTGTGCTGTGGGCTCGGGCCTGGCACAGCAAGGAGCCGGACCAGGCCAGGGTGAGCATCACTACCCACCCTTCCCCACAGGGGCCCAAACTGATGCAACCAGACCCACAGTCATGCCCCGCTGGCCACGAGGAACCCGCTTGAGGAAGAAAAAGTTGCATAAAAACATTAAGTAACTGACTAGCCCACACGTCCCACCCAAGCAGTATGTCGCCACCACTGGTGGCTGCCCAGTGAGGATAGCGCCACGGCACCCTGGAGCCGCTGGGCAGCCGTCACCTCAGGGCCACTCAAGAACAGCTGGTCAGCCCTGGGTGAAGATTCAGGCCAGGCTCCAGCCGAGACTGACCCAAGGGAGAGGAGGACTTGTGCCATCTCTAGGGCAGCCTCGTGTGGATCTGATCCTGACCCTGTGACAAGGGAAACAAAGGCAAAAAAAAAAAAAAAAAAAACAAGAAGGCAGAAGCAAAACCTACTAACAAATACCCACACCCTTCACTTTTCACAGGCAAGAATGCAGTTAGTCCTCTTGCCTTTGCTGGGCAGCCGCGAATAAGCCTAATTGCTTCTCTGGGGCCTCCGTGTTTTCCCGGACACAGAGACAGGGTACAGAGCACTGACTACGGAGGCTCCTCCCCACGCAGGATTGTCCCGGGAGCTGCCCAACTGGCAAGGCAGGCCTGTGCAGCGGTCGCCGAGCTACTCACATTGCACTGGGTTGCTGCCTCCATGTTCTGGCACCAGTAGCTGGGGCCCCACACGCACTTCTCGGTTCCCAGAAGAGGCTTACGGGCAGCGGGGCAGGCTCCAATTTTCTATATGGTGAAAAGGGGGCAAAAGAAGGGGCAAAGAATTAGATGCACCCTACTAATCCCCAAAACCAGAAACTATCAGCTTCTAGAAGCAGCCAGAACTACAGCTCTGACATGCCACTTCCAAAAAGGCGGTGCTGCTGAGCCAAGTGCTGAGGGCCTAGACGCCCTGGCCTCCCACAGCCTTTCCCCCAGAGACTGCCAGAACCCCAGAGGACCCCTCCGTGCGGAACTGCCCAGGCTACGTGCCACCCAGAGGAGCTTACCAAGCACACGAAGGAAGGGTCCATCACCTCCACCAGGATTTCTATCAGCACGGGCTCATACTCAGTCACAAACTGATCACACTGTTAGGTAAACAAGGGTACAGGTCCAGGTCTAGGTGTGCCCACGCAGAGTGGGAGCATAAAGGGGGGGGGGGGGGTACGCATGCTCTTCCATAAGAATTCCGGCCACTGCCAGCCCAGGCCCCCCTTCCCAGGTGCCCCATCTCACCTGCTCCTGTTATTTTCCCCCAGAGGCTTCCCTTGAGCCAACAGACTCCCATAAGAAATGGCTAATTTTCCCTGGAAACCTCCATCAGGCATGCAGGCAGTCCATGAGCTACCCTAGCCTTTGCGCTCCCCAGGCAGGTTCTGACATTCTGGCCCAAAGCAGCCTAGGGCATACCTGCTTCTGGTATGGGTCAGGCAGGAAGCTGCAGCCTTTCTCGAGGGCAGCCAGGATCTCCTGCTTCGTGCTGTTTTTCTCCAGGTTGTGGTCCAAATAGCTCACCAGCTTCTTGCATACCTCACAAAAGCCACCGTCCTTTGGCTTAATCACACGTACTGCACACAGGAGCACAGACTCAGGACTGGCAGGGCCCTTCCAAGCCGAGGGGACCCGCCCAGCACACACACCCCCTGCTCACCAGGCAGCACAGGCAGCCCCTGAGAGGAGCACAGATGGAGCATGCGGCACACCAACTCAGGGCTCGCCTCCTGCAGGAGGATCGACAGGATGGAGGAGCCATAAGTGTCCACCACCTCCTGGCACTCCTTGGATAAGGACGAGGGCAACTTCAAGCACACTTTGTCCAAAGTGTTAAGTATTTCTTCCTGGAACACAAACGATCATATGAGAAGATGGGAGGCTGGACGATGCTGGGAATGATTCTCAAAATACGAACGTGACCAGGAAACCAGCCAACACCAAGGTGCTACTTCCTCCCCAGAAAGGCCTGACCTAGGAAGCAGCCTGACCCCAGCCCAGAGGGACCCGCCGGTGGGCAGCAGGTGTGCAGGTTCCCAGGGCCAGTGTCCCATGAAGCAAGGGCCAAGCCCACCTCCTCTGCTAGTTCTGCCACCAGGGAAAGGGAGCACGGCAGCATTCTGGAAATGCACATACCTCAGTTCTGTTGTTGTCAATGAGCTTGACCACCTCCTTCACCACGTACTCGCACATCTCGCAGTAAACATCCGTCTTCTCCTCGATCTTGTCCTTCTGTGGAACGGGCAGGAGAGCACTTCAATGCTGAGTCCCTCACCTCACCCCTGTGTTCTGCTGCTCTAAAGGAAGGGATACCCTGTGGCCAGGGACCGGAGAAGGTCACACAAAAGGTGGCTTCTCCCAGCATCCAAGTTCCCATCCCTGCTGGTTTTGTATGGTGGGAGACCCATCCTTTTGCCCAGCCCTCTCTGATACTACCACCTACCACATACCCCCAACCCTCAACCCCCACCACACACACAAAAAAACAGGAATTCACAGGTCAGGAAACAGGCAGGGAAACCACCCCCTACCCTAAAGATCTGTCCATGTGACACATTTGGTCACAATCATTTCAGCGCTCTGGAGTAATCTGGGGAAGGGAGAAGGCGGGGGGGACAGGATAGAGTGTGGACTCACTACTTGCCCACTGTTTAGAAGACAAAGCTTTAAACACATTTCAGGTCTGCTCTAGAGTTTCAAGTCTCATGAGTACCTGAGCTTGCTTTTCTAGAGCCTGCCTTTAATAAAGGAACACTGCTAAACCAGAACTTTCTGTGACAGTAGAAATATTCTTCACCTCTGCTGTCCAGCAGAGCAGCATGGGCCCCATGTGTCTATTAAGCACTTGAAATGCAGTGAAGGTAACCAAGGAACTGGATTTTTTAAAGTTTTGGGTAATTTTATTTAAATATAAGTAGTCACATGCGGCTAGAATGTAAGCTGTAATGACCTCTTCATTCTCCCTGGCTATTAATTCAGTCAGCAAGACAGGGCAGGCACAAGTGCTTCCCCAGCTCCATCTGACTTCCTAACCCTGTGTCCACATGCTGCATATGTTAAAGGAGGACAGCAGAGGGAGGAGAAAGCTAAAGGTCAAGTGACACACAAGTTCTGAAACAAGAAATGCATGTGTATGCCATGTGATTAAATGTGACATGGCCTGGGCCCTCCTGAGAACTGAACTGTGAGCCGCACGAACATGAGGTCGGTCTTGTTGACTAGTGAACGGTTTCAGGACTCAATCTCTAACACACTGCTAGAAGACCCGTGAAAGTGCTAAATGTAAACTGATTTTGGAATACAGTGGATCTTTACCAAGTGAAGGGTGCTAGGAAAACAAAACACACCCACGCATGCAAGGCAGCATGCAGAGAGGCTTCCGTGCAAGCCCCAGGGTGTTCTGGAATAAGAGGTTTGCATGACAGCCGGCAGGGCAGAGGGGCAGAAACATCAGGAGGTTACAGACATGCCACAGATGGAGGCCGATTCCGTGGAGCACTCGGGTTCAAGGAAATCAGTATACTGGGTGAGACTGGGTGAGAGATGCCACACTAGTTTAGGGGACACCATAAACTAATGAATGGTCCCAAACTCAAACACCTTTCGGAGTGAGGCAAGGAACCAAGAAGGCATGTGCCTCATACAGCATGATGTAACATGCAGTGGCCTGGGCATCACACAGCTCTGGCCAGCACGACACGATGACACCAGGTACCTTAATGGGCTCCACCAGTTCCAAAGCAGGGATGACGTTCTCAGAGACCACTTTGGCAGGGATCAGAGTCTGCATGGGCATCTCCTTCGCTTGCTCACAGAACCCAACCAGGCCACAGATCTCCTTGGGTTGCTGAGGAAGGCACCGAAAAGGCAGTCAGATGCAGGCCCGTGCCCATCATCCCTCAGTCCCGCTCTCCACACACAAAGGTCGGGGTGCTGGGGGAACACCCTGGTCACAGCGTCAAGTCTGACTGCCATGTTAAATCTAAAGGGACTCCTGCAGGTGCAGATGTACTAGTTTCACACAGGTAGGAGGCCACACAAAGCTCTGAAGGGAGAGCAGAACTGCTGACCCTGCTCCAACAAGGGAGCACCCCAGGGAAGCAGGATTTCTGGCACCTGAGTCCCTTTCACAGGCAATCATATCCTCTCAGAGGACACCTGGTGTGCTCTAGAACCTGTCTCTTGGTCCAGCTGGTTTACTTGCAGTAGGAAACAAACTGCATGATCTTTCTAGAAGGGGAACCACCAGGCTCACAAACAGCCAAATGCTTCCCCCTGGCAGGATCATTTAAGAAAAAATGATGGACTTTTTTGAAAACTACATTCTATTTTTACAATTGCACAAACCCAGTACACACAAATACCCAATGACCCAAACCGATGAATTCTTTCAGGTCACAGAAGCTCCAGATTGATCCCATTCCCACCCAGATACCAAACCACAGGAAACAAGGTGACTTGGACACCCTGACCATTTCAATATGATGGTGGCCAAGAATGAGAAAAGCATATATGCTTTGTATGCTTTGTGAACCAAATGCAACCAACACCTAGCTCTGGGCCTGAGAGCAATTGCCTCCCACCACCAAACCATAAAGCAGAAGGACAGGACCACTAACACAAGACCTGTGATGCAAGACAGCTAGACCATGGCTATTGTTCACATTGTTTTAATACTGAGAAGTCTCTAGAATTAAGTAAAATAGGGAAATCCGAAAGTATCCTAAATATCCTGTCTTTGACGCACTTTAAGAATGGGGAAAAAAACAGAATGGGGCCAAAGACACAGAAAGCTTTTTAGAAAAAAAAGACAAAGACTCAGGAGATGTGTGGCTGCTTTGTCTCAGATGAGCTTTGTTCTACTCCCTCCCTGGGACATCCCAGGTAAAAATTCAGATATTTCACCCCAAGTTCTCTCCCATTAGATTTCAAAGTACCTTTGAAAACTCTTAATTTGCAAAAAGAGATACCAGTGCTCAGAAGGAGGCACTGGCTCAGTAAGTGTGGTCTGGGGGCTTAGTCCCTGTGTTATTGCCACCATTGGCCTGGCTCTTGAGCCGTCTGATGTGGCTCCAGGATCTGCAGGACCCCATCACCCAGAGGGGCAGAAGCCACAATCAAGAGATTGTTTCCAACTCTCTGGATCCAACAGACGGGAACAGTCTGCTCGCTATTTGCAAATGATGTACTCATGCAGCAGAAGCATTTCTGGGATCATGGAAAACAGCACTGAAGACATGCAATGCTCCCTCAAGTCATGACAGAAACAAGGCGTCCCACCAAAAGTCAGGCCTACAGTTAAGGAAGCTGAGGAAACTCCAGGGTACCCGTCACTTCCCATCATCATGCCAGTGGCATGCACACGGTCAGCTAAGTGTTGGTTTGTAACTGGACTCCAAAGCCCTGCTGACTTCTCTTTCTGTCCTCTTGAAGGAGAAAGGAGACCCCCAGTACCTCAAGTGATAAATCAGAGGGGAGAAAAGCAGAAGCTCCCCCACCAGCCAGTTACTAACACAGATCATGCCATTTAAAAAAAAAAAAAAAAAGAGCAAAGTAACTACAACAAGCAGCAGACCACTACTACAAGCAAATTCCCCATCACATACCTGATCCTGCTGTTGAACAAAAAAACAGGAAATCGGAGATGAAAATAAGAGAAAGGAAAGGACACAACAGTTAAGAAAAAATTAAAATAACAACAATCAGTTAATGAAGGCGTAAAGATATCACCAGAAGTTCAGGGGAAAACTTGCAGTCACAAATAGGCATCCTACCTTGTTCCTACCATTTCAGGGGGCCCTGAGAGCTATTCTAGCCCTCAAGGGACAGACCACACTGTCCAGCTTCTGTACATTATCCCCATGCCCCTGACACACCAAATCATACTCAAAACACTGGGCAGCAGGTCCCAGAAAATGCCAGGTTATGAGGAGCTCTCCATCCTCAGAAGCCTAAGCCCACCATGAAGGCAAGGTGATATGCAGCCAAGTGGAACATGACACAGGACTGCCCAAATCAGGGGTGTATGCTATATAATATAAAATACATCCAGGGCAGGTATATATATGTACATCTCTCAGGTCCCCACCCTCTTCAGGAGCTTTGTTCAATAAACTTTTTACTATTACTCAATAAACTCTGCTTTGCTGCCCCCAAATAATATATATATACGTATACATATATATGCATGTGTGTATATATATATATATATATATATACACGGACACACATACACATATATAAAAATATAAATATATATATTAAAAATATAAAAATAAAACACACTCCGAGGGGTCAGGGATCCTGAACCACACCTGCTGCTGCCTAGGCCTCAGGGCAACTACCCCAGGTAGCCAAATGCAAGCCTAGAAGGCCAATTTGACAAGAGATCAAAAGCCTTACCCTTTGACTCAGCAATTACAGTTCGAGTTATCTGTACTGAAGGAGAAACAAGGATCTGCATAACTATCTAACAGTAAGGGGGGGGAGGGTTCATCATGCTTTTGATCCCAAAGGCAAACCTCAAAGCAACCTAAAGAGGATTGGTTATGTAAATTATGTGCTACCCAAACGGTGGATTATGCAGCCACTTAAAAATCATTTTGTACAAGAATGTTTTGTAAGCACAATAATGCAAACTACAAAGTCTGAAGTACTATATAACCATATTACCTCACTGATATTTTTTTAAACCACAAATGATTTTTGATTTGGGAAGTATTATCTGTATTTTCAAAAAAATACGTGTTTATTATACTCTTTATAATGAGAAAATTTTTAGTTAGTGATGAGGAAGCACTTAACCAAATCAAAATCAAAGGCTTACTTTAAAAAAAAAAAAAAAAAAAAAAAGGGATCCCTGGGTGGCGCAGCGGTTTGGCGCCTGCCTTTGGCCCAGGGCGCGATCCTGGAGACCCGGGATCGAATCCCACGTCGGGCTCCCGGTGTATGGAGCCTGCTTCTCCCTCTGCCTGTGTCTCTGCCTCTCTCTCTCTCTCTCTGTGACTATCATAAATTAAAAAAAAAACTAAAAAAAAAAGGCTTACTTTTATATCCTACTTTAGCTGAGTATCTTTGTATTTTTAGAATAAAGTATGGTGTAATAATCCCAAATTAACTCTCTTATGCCTGAATGGAGCCCCTGAGCAATTAACAGCAGCACCAGAGGAGAAATCTTCTGTGTAGGCCATCAGGTCTCAACTCTGCAGCTCTGTTGTCGCAGCAAGAAATGGAATGAGCATCACTTTCTAATAAAACTTTACAAAAAAACAGGTGGTAGGCCAGTCTGCTGACCCCTGGTTAGAGAACAAACTCAACATAGTCTCAACCAAGTCAGAAAGTCAGCAGGATGGAGAGACAAGAAGTGTAACCCACCTCCTCAACCCCAAATGCTCAGATCCAGGAAGCCAGGGCCCATTCCCAACGTAAGAATCTCTTCAGACCACCCTGCTCTGTAGCACAGTTTTCTGCATGGAGCTAGCTAGCTTACTTCCACAATCAGTATCTTCTACCTCTAACAACGGAGGGACGCCCCTGCCACCTGGATGCATCAGAAGCAAGTGCAGGAGTTACAGGCTCAAGCAGCAGCTACAGCTAACACTGCTGCAGAGTGCAGGACCGACTCTGACCAGCAGGACTCCCTGCACTTCTAAATTCAAGCTGCATTGTAGCAATTCTCAGGCCTGGCCTAGCTACAGAGCAGACTATTCCCATGGATCCCAGGGTGAAAGCCAGATACTAAAAATCTGATGGTCAGCTCACATATGCAAAGGCCAACGAGCTATCAGGAAAACCACCTGGGGGTTGAGCTGCTTCAGCCTTTCCCCTGGCTGGGGAAAGTAAAGAGGGGGTACTGAGTTGTGGTCAGAGAATCTACTGGTCAGAAAGGTTCATTTTGACTCAATTTATTATCTGAAGGGAGAAAAGGAAAACTAAACCATGTAATTTTCAAAATCCTTGGGATCACAAAGTGTGCGACAAAGAATGCTAACAAGGAGCTTCTTCTCCTGCCACCTACCATATGCATCATCATCTGGACAGCAATGTCAGAATACTGGTTGATATAGTTCTTGCACTGGGGAGAGAGAAACAGGCAGTTAGTGACACACCAAAATCACAGCCTTCCTAGCAATGTCAACAGGGGACTATCAAGTTTCCAAGAGTAGAGTCTTACAAGCATCTTGAAATAAAGATGGCAATTTATCTTATGCCTTGTAGGAAAAGGTGTGCTAGGATGTTTTGAAAATGTGTCCCAAAGGCCCTTAGAAGAGATGAAGTCTTCCCATCTCCTTTTATAGCCCCAAAGGTCACAGAGCAGCTACTCAGGAGCAATTCTGAATGTGGCTACAGACATGCTGCTACAAACCCGAAATGACTTTTCAAACCTACTCATGGATTCCCGGACAAGATTATAAAGTTAAACACGGGAGGAACCAAGTTATGATGATTTTCAGCTCAACCTATTTTCATCCGCGTCTAGGTATTTCCTGTAGACCCTCACAGACTAGTTCTGGTTACACTGGGTGCCTCCACAGTGAGAAAGTCAAAGTGCATAATAGCCCGCAGGCAGGGCTGAAGTGGGGAAGCCAAGGTAACATGGCCATGTACAAAGATACTCCAAGGAAGCCAAAAGACTCCTGCCCAGAGGAAGTCAACAGAGAAGAACCCAGAGCTTCCGGAACCAGCCATTCCTACCCAAGAAGGATGCTCTACGATCCCAGACTCATGGAGTTATCATCACCAGCTTCCCTACATCCAGTCCTGCCAAGGTTTCCCTGCTGCCAGGTACAAAACTAGCATTTTGGTTTTACCTATCAATTTCACAGGCATGTGGTTAATGCAAACAGGATCCAAGAAGTGAAACTTTCTAAGCACCTAACAAAATGAGTTTCTTACCCTGCAGGACTAACATTCACCAAGGTAAGGAAGGTGTCCTGCATGCCAGCCTACAGGGCTTCCCATGGACAACAACCCCACTGGCTGTGGGGAAAGCACACTTAGAATTATGAATATGTAACAGCCAGGTTTTTTAACACGAGGTTATAAAGGAAGCTAGTGTGGTTTCTTATACATACAGTGACTGGGAGGGGAAAAAAAATCTTCACGAAAGTGGTCTCCTTCCACTATTTTTTACTCCAGGCATCTTGTTACATACATGAATTCAGCTAACCGACAAAGTATTTAAGTACCCACCAACTCTCCCAGATGCTTTCTGGGAAAAAGGAAATGGGAGTTGTATAAACTATCTCTTCTTCAAAGCCCTGAGATTGGAACTTATAACAACAGTACCCCAGGAACTGAAGTTTTCTCAGTTCCTCCATGCCTATCTCCAGAGCCAAACTCCCTGGCCCAGAACACCCTCCTGTGCATGAAGAGAGAAGGCTCACCATGTCGGCCATGCCAGGCCCCAGGAGGTCACACTGTGCCTTGGCATGGTCCACCAAGGCCTCGACAAAGGTGGAGTTGGTCCTTACAGCAGTCTGGATGTCAGTGACCATCTGGATACAGTCCTGGCAAACATCCCCACCAGCCTGCAGAGACAGAATGATGGGGGGGGGGGGGGCTGTAAACACAGCATACTTCTATGATAACAAAGAGGCTTCAAATTCCCAAGAAAATTTCCTCATGTGCTCATGACCACAGCACTAGAGAGTGTCTCACTCAACAGTTTTGGGTTTTTAAAGTTGGTGGTTTCTTAAGTAATGGCTCCACCCAACATAGGGCTTGGATCTACAACCCCAAGATGAAGAGTTGCACACTCCACCGACTGAGCCAACCAGGTGCCCCAGCTCTGTGTTTTTATAGGCTCTAAAATTATCAAAAGACTTAAAATCAATTAAGCGTTGATTTCAAAAAAATTTAATTGGAACAAAGAGAACTGTTTGCATATATTAAATATCCCAAGTTCTTTAGAACCAACATGGCACAACCATTTGAAGGGCTGCTCAGGTACCTACAGTGTCAGATGAAGGAAAAAGCCCCCAGTCTGAGAAACGAGCACGCACATAGACAGACAGACAGACACACACACACACACACACACACACACACACACACACACACACACACACAAACTCTGCCCCTCTCACGTCTCATCTGTAATCCAATTAAAAACGGGGCCTGTGGTAGCTGGGCCTATGGCCTTACCTTTGGCTGGGGCTCACTGTGGGGGCCATCCTGAGGGTACAGGAGGAGGGGGATGTTGGCCATGAAGGGAGCCACCACCTCAGCCACATCCAGCTCCGGGATCTTATTGGACTCGAGCTGTTTCTGGTGATTCAGTTCTGCCAGGTGCTTCTGAAGAGACTCGCAGAGATTGAGAGCGGAGCACACCTCCCCAGGATGGCTCTAGTGGGGAAAGAAGTCCAGCTGGAAATGCTCTCCCCAGAGGGAAACAAAACCATCAGCTGGTGCCCCTGTATGAGGCCCTGTCCTTACCTCCTGGCCCGACTCACAGGCATCTCAAACAAAACCACCTGACCTGCTCCCCCCTCCATCTCCACTTTAGCAAATGGGGGGGACCTGCTCCCCGACCTTGCTCCTAGCAGCTCAAGCCAGAAACCTGGAAGACGTTCCTCACTCCTCCCTCCTTCCCTGCCCTCCATCAGCAGGTCCAGCCCGTTTCTCCTCTGAACCAGAACGTGCATCTGTCCATCTCTACTGCTCCAACACATCTCACACAGACTGTCCCACCAGCTTCCCCTCTTCCAACTCCCAACTGGTGGGAGCTAGACCGAACCCTTTAGAGAAGGCACCTATGATCATGTCACTCCTCCCCCTTGAGCCCTCCAACAACTTCCTATTGCACTTGCAATCCTTAAAGAGAGCCTTGCATGGTGTGACCCATGCCATCCTTACCAAAACCTTGGTCCAGTCTCGGGACACTCCTGCCTGCTGGCCCTGTGTTTTAAGCACCTCCTCTTTCTTAAAAAGAAGGTCTTTTACAACCTTTTTAAGGTCTTTCCAAATACCACAAAACCCAGCCCCTTGTCTGTTGCTGAAAACCCAACATGTTCAGTGGCTCTTGGTTTATGCACAGTAGATGCTTATTTGAAATGCAGGCAGAACTCTGCTATAGCTCAACCCACCAGTACATTCCCTCAATTACTCCTCAGGATAAAAATCACAGAAATGAAATGAATTGTATGCTCAAAGGGAGAGCTAAAGATGTGACATGAGTTAGCAAATGGGCACATATATGAACGTTACAGCAGTTTACAATTCCCTCAGTATTCTCCAAGTTCCCATCTCCTGGACTCTCCCTCAATCTTGAAAGTTACAAGCACAGTGTTCTGCTGGGCCAAAGCCATCTCAGAGGTCAGAACTGTAGCAATAAGCTGCTAAGAAAATCCAAATCCATGAAAAGACTTTTCGCTTTAATCATTGTCTGGCACCTCCCAGGGCCCCAGAAGTTCCCTGAAGGAAGAGTCTATTCTCCACCACATACCATTTGTCCTTTAATCATGTCCAGGATGACTGGAAGGTAGGAGTCAACCACCTCCTTGCACGAGGCAGACAGGTTCGGACTAGGCAGCCAGTCACAGGTCTTCTCCAAGTACACGAGGATCTCTTGCTAAGGGGATACAGGCAAGGGTGAGATCAGGATGGACTTCTGCTCTGCAAACGACGAGAGCAAAGGACCTCCACAGCTCCCAACAGACAGCAGCCTCAGGGAAGAGGCCTGGGAGAGGGCCACTGGGTGGCCGTGGCTCCATCAGATAAATAGGCAAAAAGCAAACATTCCTCAAAAATGAAGCTACTCTGACCTACAGTCTCAAGGGCACAGGGACTTCTGAGCAGAAATAGCCAAAACGGACCTAAAAGGTAGCAAAAAGCAATACAAAAATCCTCATCAACCCTGGGCATTTACATGCCAAAGTCAGGGACAGCAAGTTACCTCCCACAGCCTGTTTCTGTATAGCCTGTAGCTGTACAGGATGGCTTTTACATTTTTAAAGGATGGGGGGGGGGGGGAGTATGTGGCTCAGAAGATCTGAACTACTTCCTACCTGGACCATTCCTCCTTAGACCCCCAAAGCCACAGAGCAATCTCTGAAGGAACAGACACAGATGGCCACACAGCCACTGCTCACACGTAGTCACACATACTCATGACGGCTCACCTCAGTGGCATTGTCTTTCAGCATGTCGCCAGCTGCAGTGATAACATCTTTACATATGTCGCAGGGAAGGGATTTCTAAGAGGAAAGAACATGAGGGAGAGAGATCCATATTTGTAGGACGTAAGTCTACAGCTGAAAAGCCCCTTGGCCTCTGTCCTATCTACCCAGGGATGTCTGCCACACTGGCACAGCCTGGTTCCTCAACCTAGATGAGAAGTACAAGGACGCCACAGGGGAAGAATCAGCAGATGGGACTGACCAGAACACTGTGCTTCTACAGGGTAGATACCCTTTTCTTGTACCCTCTATACCTCAGCACACATGGCACAGGCCAAATGTCGTGTTAATGCTCACAGCAGTTCCAGGAGGAAACTGAAGCTTGAAAGGGTGAAAAAAATCAGAGAAAGTCAGTCGGTCACCTGGGGCCAATATCACTATCACAGAGTAAAAGGGGAGTGGGACAGAGAAGCCCAAGCAGACACTGGCACTACCTCCTGCACTATGTCCACCTCCCACCATGCAGGTGTAGGTATGCTCACCTGGAAGCCATATGTCACCACCCCAGAGCTTAAAAACAGCGTGCCTGTCCCCTGATAAGCCTGAACACCCACAGCTCTATGTGGCCCCAGACATGGAGACTCTAGCTGCTTCTTGAGGCTCGTGAGAAGCTCCCTTCTTGAGGGCAACTGATTTATACCCCATGAAGAAGGAAGGAACTAACACCTGTGGGTGAGATGAAGGAAGACCTGTGAACTAAACTGCATTGAAAGAAATCAATTTAAGGCACCTGGGTGGCTGAGCCAGTTAAGCATCTACTTTCAGCTCAGGTGACGATCTCAGGGTCCTGGGATCAAGCCCCATGTCTGGCTCCCCACTCAGCCTGCTTCTCCCTTCTCCCTCCCCCTGCTTGTGGTTCTCTTGCCCACTAACAAGTAAAAATAAACTTAAAAAAAAAAAATCAATTTGAACCTTTGGGCCTCATCAGGCTACTACCAGATTCAGGCACCCATGAGACTGTCCTGTCAGAAAGAGCAAAAGTCCCCTCCCCCTTGTCACATGCTGAATTTGAAAAGCGGAAATCATGTTAAAAACAAGATGAGAAGTAAATTGGAAACCAAATCAGAAAGTAATTTTGGCCACAGAGGGTAGAGGCCTGACGAATTCAGACACTATTTCTAAAAGAACAGGGTTTTTAATTGTTCTTCTCTTAATGAAGAGAAGAAGCACCTGCGGCCACTAGTGACAAGTTTTAGATCTGGAAATCCAGGCAAAGTGAGCCTGTGCCACAGGAGGTGGCACCTCGCAGAGCGAGCCACGAGCATGTTCTGCAATCAGCTGGTACGGCCAGCAAAGCTCAGCCATCTCCTGAGAGGGGTCAGGTCGCAGGAAGAATGCACTTGAGCTTTGTCATCTTGGAGTAATTCTCCATGAGTATTGAGAGTTCCACATTAATATGCTATATTTAACACCATTTAGATGAAAAATCAGTAGCATCATGCTCACTTCAGCAGCACATCTACTAAAATTGGAATGATACAGAAATCAGTGTGGCCCTTAAGCAAGGATGACACGCAAATTTGTGAAGTGTTCTATATTAAAAAAAAAAAATCAGCATCTTTTCCAGTTTGGCTGTAGCTAGAAATAAAATTTTAAATAGCTACTAAACTCTAGGGTTTGAATTAGTGATCTGCCTGAGAGGCAGAGGGTGAAAAATGCCAAAAAGTGGGGAAGGACTTCAAAAGTTTAGCACTTTTTTTTTTTTTAAGATATATTCATTTATTTGAAAGAGAGAACATGCACACACACATGCGGGGAGGAGCAGCAGAGGGAAAAACTCAAGCAGACTCCACGCTGGGTGCAGAGCCCAACACGGGGCTCAATCTCATGACCCCAAGATCATGACTAACAGTCGGGTACTTAATTGGCTGTGCCACACAGGCACCCCTAGCATCTACTTTTTGGAGTGACCAAGGATGGAGCTCTGCCCACGCATCCAGGCCTGGGAATAGAAACTGCATACCTCCTGGTCCCTCACCTAGCGTGGAGAGGTGGCACACCCAGAGGCCCGGGAGGTGGCATGGTGTGCATACAGTGGCGGCCGTGGGCAGGCCTCATCCTCTGCCTCCAAGAGACTCAGTGACCTCGGGGGAACAGAACCCTCACCCCTCTGCAACTGTTTCCACTGTACTACAATGGGTCCACCCCGCAACAGGTCCTGCCTCCCTCGCAGGGCCACCGTGAGGAGCAAACAAAGCAAGGGAAAGCACTTGGTAAATGGCAACAGCTACAGCCAATATGAAGAGACAGAGGACGGCACCAGCGGCACTTACCACCGTTGGCTTGTTCCACACAGTCTGCAGGCAGTGCTGCAGGGCCCCGCAATCGGCCGCCGTCTTCACGTTCTGGCACCACACCGCCGAACCTCTGGTACATTCTTTCAGGCCTAGGACAGGGCTGGCAAGAGCTAAAAGAAAGACCATCATGAGAAGGTAGCCCACCTCACTTACCTACCCAGGGGGAAGGACTAGCCCAGGCACTGAGCTGGACAGCGGCACGGCCCCTCACCCAGCGGCGTGCCACACAAACCACAGCGCCACTGGCTCCAGGCCAGAAGCTCGGTGACCACCTTCAGTCAGAGTCACAGGACTGAGAGGGACTAATGTATCTGGTTTGCTTTTTTCCTCTCAAACTATTTCTAAACTGTACCAGGCCTTTTAATCTTTAGAACCTTAAGAATCTTCCATGAGGTAATAAAGAAATCAAAGGAGTAAACACTGACAGATTATACAAAATTTTAAACTCCTGTAAAATGACAAATTAAGTTTTTTTTATTAATCTATAGGGAAAACAAGGTTCATATCCTTATTACAAAACGATTATTATTACAAAAACGATTCTTAACATTCTAGTAGAAGAGCCCTTTTACAAATCTAACTTTGTGAACACATGCTCATAAACAAATTTACTAACAAAAAATCCTCCATAATCCACTTTGGTATCACAACAAACGTGATACGGTGAACATGTGTCTACTCAAAGTCAGGTGCACAGCATGGCATCTGCTGTGGTAATGAAGAAAGGACTCAGGCAACAGTCACAAGCACAGAAATTAAACTGGGAAAGCACAGGAAAGGTACAAGTCACCTAGGACCAAAGAAATGCAGGTTACAGCAAGAAGGTGCCATATTTTGAAAGTTAAATTAGCCAAGGAGGGAAAAAGTGACAAGGTTGTAGTAAAATATACATTTGTAAGGCTGTGACTGGTCAGGACTTTTTAATATATTAATATATTTCAAAAAATGGAAAAAATCCCTCTTCAAAAAAGTTATCCACTTTCAAGGTCACCTTGGAGGCTCAGTCTCAGTCGGTTAAGCATCCAACTCTTGATCTCAGGTCAGGTCTTAAACTCAGGGTCATGAGTTCAAGCCCCACACTGGGATCCAGGCTGGGTGTGGAGCCTACTTTAAAAAAAAAAAAAAAAGTAACCCACTTCTAGAAATAGATTTTAAGGAAATACAGCAATCCAAGAGGCAAAATATGATATGCATAAATATATTTATTAAATGTAATTCACAATACTAAAAATAAAAGTTGATATAACTTGAATGGTCAAAAATAGAGAGGAAAAACTAATGATACTCTTACTAAAAAGAATATGTAGCTGTTAAGCATAAAATTATATATCAAATAGAAAAAAAAAAAAAACCCAAGAACAGGAAATTATGTAGGAGTTGTATAAAAAACAGAATAACAAAGCAGGGTGGTTGTCTGAAACTCCCAGTGTTATGTTGTATGTGAGTAACTCTACAAAAATATTTTATAAAATGCCTTGAAAGTACTTATGTTTCTTACAATAGGTCTATAGTAACCTTGACTTTGGAACCTCACCTCTAGGCCAACAATTCGGCTAGAGAACAATGGATTCCATCGGGTTACACAAAGACGGGTGAAGACGGGTGACGGTGCTGGCAGCTAACTCCAGCAAACACCTCAGTAGGGCGAAACCACCTTCTACTGTAAATAGGTAACACAAGGCCCAAGTCTGAGGAGAAAGCCCACAGCTACCCGTGAAACAGATGGAGAACCTCGGGAGTCACGCAGCTCAATACAAGCCAATGAGAAGGCACAGAGATCCTACAGACAGGTGACGCACACACAGTACACAAAACACGGAGGTTGGTAGGTGCTCTCACTCCAGGAGAGGGCAATGAAATGTGGTCAAAGCTATATTCCACGAACTATTCACACAAACACTGAGTCACAGGTCCGCAGAAAGCTTAAGCCAGATGATATGCACCCTTTGACACACTGGCAGTGATTATTAATCTGCTACCCAGGTTACAGCCTTTCATGCCCCTTTGCAGCAAAAATTGCATCCATAACCAGTTCACAAACACAACTGAACTGGCCACCTTCCAACAGCTGTTGGCTTAGATTCCGGTTTCCACGGGAAACATGCAGCAGATTTCATACTAATCCCCAGATGGTTCACAGGAGTTTAGTACCTATAACGTAGCTACACTACGCTGAGGCCAGCCCTGGGCTGTAGGTCAGGGTTCTGGGAAGTGGGGGTCATCACAGAGACAGCACACAAAGCCCACAGGTTCCACCAGCGCCTCCCATGCTCCTTCCAGGTACACGGCCCTGGAGAATCCTGAGAAGCACCCAAAATACACCAACTGGTTCTACCTGCAACTGGGAGAAAAGAATCGGAAAAATAACAGGAAGCTACAAAATGAAAAATGAGCCAAGAATGCAGAGTGAGACACAGGGAAGCCAAGAAGAAAGAGGGGGGACAACAGCCGACCAGAGCCACACAGGGTTCAGAGAGAAAGGCAGGGCCAGTGAGCAGCCCTCCCTACATAAGGCCCAACTACCATCTCCAGTCTCAAAAATATACAGTCAAATAGGACTTAACCCAGGGGGTTTTCTCCAACCATCCCAGCCAGGAGTTGGCCACAAGGGCCAAAATCTATCAGGCTTGGGGAGGAAGATGCACCAGGCTAGGCCTGAGAGGCAAGAATACTTTGTAGTTTGTTCACTAGTTCAAGGAACTTGAAACAGTAATCATTTGCAATAATGACTTTGTTACCAGTTTTAGCTAAACTGTTCTGGACTAAAAGTCTTTTCTGGTAGCTGGTTATTTGTGATCCATCCGGCTAACAGCCAAGTCATTCCCAACCTCAACAGTTACTGTTACTCAACAGCCCACCTCAGAACTTTCAGAAGTAAAATGCATGGTGGGCAACCTGTTAGACCTATGATGTCCTCAATGTCAACCTAAAACACATTACATGGACAATGAGAAATGAAACTAAACTCCCAGCTCCTAGAAATTAAATTCTCAGTAAGACATTCCCATGTACCTCCAACCTAAAGCCAAATTTTTAAAATTGCACTTTATACAAATAGTCTGTGGTGTACAACAAATCTGATGTCCTAAAATGACCCAATGTGTATTTACAAAGAAACAACTGTGTATCCTCAGGATTGGTAATGTGAGGCAGAAATGCAAGCATGGGTGATACCAGGGAGCCACCTGGGGAGGGTTCAGGTGCTTATTTCAGGACCTGATCCCCTGTGAAGGAGCCAAAGAATGGGTAAGAACACTGCTGAGACATGAATCCTTTTCCCGGAAAATGTATTTAGACACAAAATCCTCACACCACTTCAGGGAGCTCTTATGCACTACACCTGTCCAGATCCCAGCTGTGGACTGAAGGCTCTAAAAGCAAGCATGGCTCTTCTCCAACCAAGTGGGAAAACCACGAAGATGAAGGCTGATTACCAAACTCCACTGACTGGGCCAAGAACAGTGCACTCAAGCAGCAGAACAAAGTGGACACACTTGGGGTCTCTGACTCCACAGTGGGACGGGACAGGCCCCGAAGAAATGGTGGTATGTTAATAGAAACACAGGGAATGACAAGCCCTGGAGCAACAAAATTACTAACTGCATAGAGGAAACTTCTTCAAAATGAAATTTGAACTGGCCCCTAAAAACAGAAATACAAAAAAGACTGGGTGAGAGAGAAAAACGGAATTCGTGAACATTCCAAAGGAGGAGAGGAATCTTTGTCTTCTCCCAAGCCAGGCTGCACAGAGAGACCCCAGGCCCAACCAAGAAGACCTCATCTGACACACTCATCCCTGTGTGAAAACTCACCCTGTGGGCAAGAGCTCACACTAGTGTCTTAAAAACCCAGGAGTCATAGAGCAGAAGAACTGACAAAAGGAGGTGGGGGATTCAGATGACGGGGCACCTAACTGGAATGCAAGCTCACACCAAAAATTCCAAGCAAGGAGCAGTAGCAACCAAGACTCAGAGAGAAGCTAACAAAAAGATTCCACAAGAACAGACAGCTGGGAAAATGAAACTCAGAGGGTTAAACGTAAATGTGAACACAAGCCCGCTGAGCGGCAGCACAAAGAACACACCTGTGTGCTTTGCTTCCCAGAGTCAGAGACAAGCACAGCAGGTTGGGAGGGTGAGGACGCGTGACACCATTCCTGACGCCCCTACAAGACTGGAGGTGTTAACTGGGAGAGAGAACGTCTCTTAGAAACAATGCTATTTTCATAGGAAGGAGGCCTTCCACCTATCACGCGGGGGCAGATCCGCTGTGTGGCCTCAGACCCAGCTATCAGAGCTGTGAGTAGAGGTTAAGGGAAACAGACGACGGCTCGAGGTAGGGGCCATCCACAGGGTTATAAAGAGGGAATGGGCTGCCTCGTTAGATGATGACCGCTCCAAAAGCAGAAGGAACCACGCAGAAACAAAACGTTGAACCTCCAAGGAATTCTGTGGGAAGAGAAATCCTGCGTGATGAGCAGGACTAGAAGTCCTCTGAGGGGCTACACATCCTCACTCCCAAAAGAATGAGCCAAATGACATTTTCAGTGTTTATACATAACCAATACATAAAAAATATCCTAAGCCAGTTTCTGATGAGTTATTTCTCAAAACATGTTCTCAGCAAAGCTTTCATCTCTATTCTCATTCTCCCACACTCTGCCCCCAAATACCAACTTCCTTCTTTTGAGACAATAAGTTGAACTCTAAGAAAGTTCTTAGAATGTGTGCCTGACCTCCTCAAGAGTTCTAATTAAATATGTTAAGACACAAACACTCCTCATGGCAAGCCAGGCACTAGCCCCCCTCAGTTCTGAGGCCTCCCATTTGAGCTCTCAATGACAACAGAGATCAGAGAAATTACCATTTCAGAGACACTAAAACCCTATGGGCAAGTTTCCTTAAAGAAAGACGGGCTTTGTGTTGTTTTTTGAGACACAGAACTTCAATTGTATTTCCCTAGCAAAGGGATGGGTGCACTGTGTTTCCTTTTGACTCCCCAGGCCTAGAAGAAAATAGCCATATTCTAAATGACTCACATGTAGGTCATTTATAAAAAAAAAAAAAAAAAGGCTATGATGGAATTTTACTGTATTGAGATCGGCTGCCAT